TCCATTGTTGAGCACTGACTCAGCCACAGTACCAGCATCCTGATATCGAATCTCTGGTACAGTAATACAGGCCACACACACACACATACACACAAACGTCCATATGGGTCATATATAGATATACAGTGAAAGTTTTGGGCACTTGTTGTTGTTGGTGATTAAAATAAATTTTATTATCATTTGGTGATTTGATTTAAGGCTCTATCTTGTACAACATTCATTTACTTATTACACTGAACAACGAGTTTACAATATGTATGCATAGGATCATGTGCACAGACTTGCAAGTAGTTCCTCTTTTGTATACAATCAATCGCATGGCTGATATAACCGATTTAGCTAGGTGTACAGATGTCTTTCGTGACACGAACAAGCAGGATTATTACGCATTAAAAAAATACACCCATTTATTGAGTCGGTTTGATAACCAATAAAAGTGTAGTCGTGCGTGCTCGTGTCACGAAAGCACAGTAGCATATTTTGCTTTAAGCATGCCGCAATTTTATATAGCTTCGTATACATACTTGCACTATAAACTAGATACACAAATTTCACTAAAACATGTTTTAAAATGCCATTTTAACTTGAGTTAAAGCGTCTAATATTAGCTAGTTGCCAAAAATTATGCTACGGGTTTTCATATACATCTTTTTTCATTTTTCATTTGGTTATTGAAGCTGTGTAATACTCAAGTTTTCATCACGAACATAAAATGGATGTGGAAACGCACAGTTGCGAAAAAAACATGGGAGTATACAATAAGGACACCAGTTCAAAACATTACATGCTATATTAAACATTAAATGAGAGGTCAAGTTAACATTTAGCAAAAAACAGCTAATAACAAACTTTGACGCAGAATGTTCGACCGATCCGCTTAGTTCTGCAGTGCGGCACGCAGCAGGCTGTCCAATGTCAATTGGATCGTTCCGTTGGCAGATGCCTGCAGTACAGATTGTGGCTTTGGTAACGCTGGAAACTTTGAGGTCGTACTCGCTGCCATTGGAGGTTCCATGCTGCTGAGGCACTCCACAACGGTGGCTGGCAAGGGCGAGGCAGGCATGGCCACGTCTGAGTTAGCGGATGTATTCAAGGCATTGTTCGACCCGTTCCCTTTGCGCGGAGGTGATGGCGGCGTGAGCTGAAGTACCGTACTAAAGCTGTGCTTGCCGTTAGGCGTCTTGTGCAGCGCGTCTAACTCCACTTGGGGCTCAGGCACTGCTTCCGTTTCTGTTTCCTCTTCAGCGACAGCGAACGCATCCGGCACTTCCGGCTTCCGTTGTTGCGCAATGGCGTTGTTTACCTTCTGCCATAGATTGGTGATGGTCGCCTCCTTGCCGGCAGCTGCCGTGCGCTTGGCAATCCTCTCAATAAAGCTCTCGCTAACGGAGATGACTGGGGCGGTGTCCACCACATTCTGCTGGCTGCAATCGCTGCGCGTATAGGAAATGAGACGCGGGCGGATTTGCGGTCGCTCGGCAGGCAGCTCCGGAAGTGTTGCAGAGACTGCGCGTCCTTCGCTGACCAGTTTTAACATTATGCGACGGGTGATGCCCCGCACTAGGGATTTCTTTTCCTCGGTTATATAAGGCTCCCATTGCTTGAGTTTGGACTCCACACAGGCTACAGCCTGGCCAGGTTGGCGACGCAGTTTGGCTCGCATGGACTCAACAGCGTTCAGTGCACCAGATGGATCCGCCTTGAAGCTAACAAGATCATAGACAAAATCTTTGTTGACGGCCTTAACGCGTTTTCGTATGGGTCGTTTCTCGGCGCTGCGCTCGCCAGTGTCTGGTGAAATTTGCGTGCGCGACTTGCGACGCTTTTTGTTGGGCACGGGATGTTGCAATTGTTCATCCTCTGGTTCCTCCTTGATGACGAAGGCGGGGGCAGCGGCTGCGGCTATGGGCGAACTGGGAGCCATCTCTGGCGGTGGCTCAGTTATTGTTTTAACGCGCTTCATACGTTTCTCATAGGTTTTGGGCGCCGGCTTTGGCTCGGCAGGTAGATCCAGCTCCGCTGACTGCTCCTTATCTAACAGTATAATATCACCATCGACATCATCGCGTGAGTACTCGCACTCATGCGTAGACACATACTGCTCGGTCAGCCTGTCGCGATCGCCCTCAATTTTGTGTGTGAAACCCAGGTGATTGACTATGTCGTATCGGCGAAAGGCGCGATAGTCGCATATGGTGCAGCCGAAGCGGCGAGCACGATAATGGAACATGGAAATGTGGCGTCGCAGATTGCCGAGCGCATTGAACTGCTTATTGCATATCTTGCAACGGCAGCGTAGCTGTTTCTCAATGGGCACATTGCGCTTCTTTTTTGATTTCGTTTTTGTCTCATCAACGCTGGTCTGTTCGTCCAGCTCCCGCTCCTCCTGGTCCTCCTGTTCGTCTTCGCTGTTGGACGCCTCCTCGCTAGATAAATCGCTCTCCTGCTGCAGCTGCAGCTTGTCCAGCGATACGGTACGGAGCCCCGGTGCATAGTTTTCATTTTGCTCGGCCAGACCGGCAAACATTTCATTCAGCGCATTAGAGTCAATGCTCTGCATATCCACTGCAACTGAACTGGGGCTCTCGTCAAGCATATCCAGATTGGACACACTGGCACCATTTGCGATGGCTTTTAGCTTCTTAACGGCTGGTGCCGGCTTGGCCAACGCCTCTTGCTTGGCGCGACAGTTTAGCAGATGCGTGGATAACGCCGCACGACGCTCAAACGACTTCTCGCAGTAAATGCACAGCGACATGATCTTGCGCTGTTCGCCATTTGGATTAGTACGCTCGGGCACTTGTCCGACAACGTCGTCGGACAACTGCAAACGCTTTAGTTCACGACTTGGTCCCTTGGGCTGGACATCACCCTGCTGCATGCGGCGTTTCAGGATCGTGTTTCGCATCATGCGTATTCGTCGAGTTGGTTTTCTGGCAAAGCAAAATAAATGTAACCAGTGTCAGAGTGTGCATCTAGCATACCCACTTGTGATCCTTGGAGAGGTGACGAATGACAGCTGCTGCCTGCAGAAAAGTAAGCGAGCAGGCTGGGCACTGAAACACAAACGCTGACGATGAATGATGCTTCTGTATGTGCAGCTCCAGTGTCTTTTGCGTCTGAAAAGTCAAGTTGCCTGGAACATATAAAGAAAAAGGAATAAATTCAAAGCCTACTCATGTTATTCATGTGATTTAGGTATTTTACATATTTCGCAGAGAATGTTTGTTTCCGTTTCGTCGCTGACGGACTGCTCAGGTGTTTCAGCCGAATCGCTACCACTTGGTCGCTCGTAATGATGCGTGTTCATCGCCTTGCCGTCGGGTCCTACGATAGTTTGCTCTGGATTAAGCATGTGATGCACTTCGTTTAGCTCAGTTTTAATGCTATCATCGTGCTCGACCTTTATCGTCTGGTAGACCGCATGACTAGATGTCGGCACCGACTCCAGCTTGAGCACTGGCGGCAGCTGCTTAACTGCCGCAGTAGGCGCTTTCTCGCGACGTAAGCGTTCAATGACGCCACTTAAATCGCGCATGCTGCCACGCATGGGACGCGCCTCGCGAGGTACCGGCGAACAGCCTGTGCTTCGACTGCGCAGCATGTGTTCAATATCCTGTGAGGCATCTGCCTGAATTATCATCGTGGAGTTTTGATCCTGTAAGCAAAGTGACTAGTTGATTCATGAAACAAACCAATGGAAAAAGCTTAAATTGGACACTGGCTTTACGGCTAACTCACTGCGTATCTGGTATTATAGCTCGTTACACGGGCGCTTATGCAGCAGAAGACACGTTTGTGGCTAATGAAATTGGCCAAACTGCGAAACATATTGCGGCACACGTTGCACTCATAGATGAGGCTGCACTCCTCGCTGAGCAGACGACGCACCTGTATGGGACAATGGGACATGAATTAATGATTGTTCTAGGTACAGGGCACCCACACACGCGCACATATACAGTAAAAGCTCTTTTGAGCGGACTTCTAGGGTTGCGCACTTGACTCCTCCAGCTTAGGGGGTGGACGTTAAAAACATATGTGAAAGCAATAACATAAACAGGAAAACATACGCATTCATTTATACTTTTACATATTTCCGATAAATAGATATGGATGTTTGAAATTTACTAATTGGGTCAAAAGAAAATAGAAAATTGTTGATGGTCCAATTGTCGTATAATCTTTGGGCTAGAAGACCTATGTGTTCAACTTTTAAAAACTATCCCTGTTATTATTTATTTGTAAGTAGGCAAAACAAAATGATAGAGACTACAAAAGGAGTTATGAGCTATGAAAAGGGCTTGTACATTGGGTTTGTTTATATTACGCCATTCTGGGACCCAGTTGGGTCACGTACGCAGCTCAGCTACACGCCTACGATTCCGTTAACGCTTCCGCTTACCTCACTGGTTCCGTTTTCGTAGGCGCGTCGGGCCTCCTCGAAGCCTGTGTGGGCAGTTTGGAGGGGTCGCTGCAACAGGCTTAAGTCGTTGCCATCGCTCTCCATCTGTTGTGTATCCGAATTGCAGCGCGAGTTACGCTTCTTCATGGCTGCTGCCCGTAATTTGCTGCCGCTTGGAAAAACGCACGAGTTGTTTGTTTATTGAGAATTGCACTTGCACGCACTCATGTGCGTATTGCCCTTGTTAAAGTCTTATTTTAATTGATTAAAATCGGATTTTCAATTCGAATTTACGCATGCATATTGCACATTTTCTTATATTGCAGTTTTCGCTTATTCTTGTTCTCGCTGCTTACAGAGAGAATTAAACTCGCTTAATTGTGTTCTCGTCCAACATTGCTATTGCTATTAGCTAACACTGTTTGCTTAGGCACATGTACCCTCACGCTGAGAACCTTGGCAACATTTTCGCTCACGAAAGCATGCTTATCGATATTTCTATCAGAATGCAACTTTAGTTTGCGCGCGCTCCTATGTGCTGAAAAATGTTGCATTTGTACTTTTGAAAGTTTTCAATGAAATAACCCCATTTGCATTTAAGCTTTTATATTTATCTATATTGTAGAAGATTTATTCGCTCAAGCTTGTTGTTGTTTTTTTGACATTTAGTTATGTAATACATTTTATTTATTATTCTTAAACTAATGCTAGGCAAAATTAGTGTTTATTTTTGACGAATACACAATTATGAATTTTAGTTTATTGTAAAAAGCGTTTGTCATAAAATAATGTAGAGTAATATATGTTTGCACTGATGTTTACCGTAGTTTAAGCTTCATATGTATATGCATATAATTATTGTTATTTTTCGAAACTCAATTGCTAAATATACATATTGGGTGTGTTAATATATTTTTACCATTCTGGCTGCTCAGCAATAAACTTTTATAGTTTATAGTTCTGTGATATTTGATTGAATTTTTGGAAAAATATTCATTTATCGGTTCGTCTTATGTATGGTATTGGTATTTGGTGTAAATAGCATGTGGCTTAATAATTATATCATTTAATTGTGTACATTTATAAGCAGAAATGCTGCAATGCCTGCTACATATATATGGATTTAGGTATGTAAATATAATCTCTTACATTTTTGAATACATTTTTTTTTTAATTTAAATGTTATACGCTTGACTTGAATCGCTAGCATTAAACGTTTGCCATTTTCTTTTTTCCATGGGCTGCTATCTTTTTTATTCATTTAGTTTATGTTTATGATGAGTAAATTTGTATAAAGGTTAAGGTAATGCGTTTATCTTTAGTAAGGCACTAGTTACACATTGGGCCCCCTCTCCCATCAAAGTGAGGGGCGCTGCTAAACGTGTAACTACTGACTACGACATACAAATCCCTCTTCCATATCCGATCAAATTTTAAAGCTTTCGTGTACAATTTCATTTAGCGTATTCTTTTCATTTAGTTTTAGTTTTTCTTTATCGTTTTTTTCTTTTTAGCTAATACACTGCACTTATGGCAAATCTAAACTGATTACAAAACAAGCAACGATGCTGCAGCGACCACGCCGCCTACTAAAGATAACTTGGAGGAGGGTCTTGGATCGATGATCGATCGATCGGTCGGTCTGGATATGGAGTGATCGGCCACTACACAGTGCGACAATTTGACTGCATTTCGCTACAATTTTTATATAGTGGGTGGTTGGGGGTTGTCTGGTAGGTTGGTTGCGTGATTCTTGTCGATAGTGTGTACGTTTTGGGCTGATAGTTTACTGTATTTCTTTACTTGGATAACACAGGATATTAATATTATTATGTGGTACCCACATTTGTCGCGCAGTTATTGTAGTGAGCACACACACACAGGCTAGTTACAATATCTAACCTATAATTACATGTAGCATTATAGGGGAGAGAGAGATAGAAAAAATAGAAAGAGAGTTTGTATAGTTAGCGGTCGGGTATTTTCTAAGTTCTTAGTACAATTGTTTCACGATTTCTGCCCCATGACAGACTATAACTAGGTTTAATTTTAACATATTAGTTACATACAAAGTTGAAAATGCAACTGCAGAGTTGGGAATATTGCTTATCCAAACGTCTCTTGCATCTGATGCGCAAGCAACTATGTTAAAATTTGGTATCAAAATCCTTTAAAGTATGTCATGTACACATATTGTGTTATTTGCGTATGGTAGTGTATGTGTATCTGTATCTGTATTATGCGCAATGGGTTTGAGATTACACAGAGTTACATACGTACAGGTATGTATGTACGTGTGTTTATGTTTCGTAGTTGACAGGCAGTTATGTAAGTTAATTTTCAACTAACTAACTTTGATTAAAGTTGCCATTGTTGGTTAGCTGTGTGTGTGTGTGTGTGTGTGTGTGTCTAGTGGGTGTGTGCGCGTGTCTGGGGGCACATGCACAGCAGGGCTAACAACAACATACACAAGTGCAGGATGGCTTCTAATCTATGTATGATATCTCTCATTTCTAGTTTATATTTTAGGCATACAATTTAACCTAGATAGACATGGATGCTTGCTTAAAATTTAAAATATTGGTATTATATCATAAATTAAATTAAAAATGTTTATTTTTGGGTTTATTATAAAATTTCACACTGTTTAAAAGGTTGCCATGATTTTCGTTTTGTTACATGTTATGTATTTATGTATTTCTAAAGTGTATATTGGTAGTCTGTATGACAATGAGAATGTGTGATGCGCTTATTTCTTCTGCTTCTGCTTCGACATGTACAATGAGATTCGCATTCTACTTACATAAGTTAACTCATTTTACAAATCATAAATTAGACATAAACTTAAACAAATTGACAAAAAAAATGTACAATTAAAATCAAACAAATTAACATGATTATGTGAATACGAAATAAAACTTAAGACTTAGCGAGCAGAGATTTTAAAATGAACTTAAATCATACAACATATATATAAATGTATGTCGAACATAAGCATAAAAGTTAATTAAGAATAGTTATATATTTCATATAATACATAAGGCCTTGATAGGGGGGTATATCGAGTTCAATTCTTATAATGTACATAAGAGTTCATATAACGCTCTGCCAAAGGTTAAAGCCAATCCGGCGAGGAGTCTTTATGTCTGTGTGTGTTTTGTATGAAGATGTGGCAAGTGAGCGTGCCCTGGTTTTATAAGGCGTGTTCCTTGTGACACATATAATACAGCTCATCATATATGGATGCATGTTTGTATGTATGTATGCAAGTATAACAACATGTGCTATACATATGTGATATTCTTTTATATTAGTTGGGTATCGTTTGATATTCGAATTGTCTTGTTGTTGATTTTGTTGCTGTTTGTTTGTTATTGAATTGTTATGTTCACGATTGTTTTGTTATTGTTTCATATTTCGATTTTGTTTTTGCTTTGATTTTTACATTGTGAATAAATGCGTTTAGTTCAAGAACTTTGCTATTGTTATCATTATGAGGTTGGCCAACATGATGCAAATGCTTGATTCTGGCAAATAGCTACCTCCGCTCACAACAATGTCTTTCTCCTCCAGGAGCGGATAGTCGATGACATGTATAATGCCATTGGTGCACTCAACATCCGGCCGATATACATTGATCTTCTTATAATTCCACACGATCACATATCCTGAAATGAGATTGTAAAACGAGTTAAGAAATTTCGTTAAGTTTTCCCAGTAAAGGTCTAAGGTGATATGCTATGGAGCACACGGTGAGGTTTATGTTTTGCATGGAATGGGGCCAGTTTTGATGGCTGTAGTGGGTTGTTTGTGCAATGGGTTGACAAACGGCAGCACTCACCAGTCCATTCGTGACTAGCATACTCATCATGTAGATCTTTTACATATATTGATTTGTTTTTGTTAAATACAAAGCATGAGATTTTGGTAAAGTCGAAGAGAAACAGCAAAAGTTAGTACAGATAATGGTACCGATAGCATCGAATCGAAACAAAAAGCTTTTTGGGTGCCCTAAGTGGCTACAACTGAGTATAACTTACGTCCAGCCTCCTCCTCGACCTTTATTTTGAGTGAATCACGCAATGTGGGCAGCACCACGTTGTCTGTGGTAAGCGACATTTGCGCTAGATCTTTCATGGTAAACACATGATCCGCAAGGACCAGATGACGCTCCAAAATGTACTTGGACTGTTATGTGAGAAACATACAGAAAAAGAGAGAGAAACTTTACTGATAGAATGTTTTGGACGTAATGAGCATCTGCTTACATGATAGGCAAAGTCACGCATGAAGAGCTTCTTGTGCGCCGAGGGATAATCCAGTTCAGTCTTCTGCCAACCCTTGTCGCGGGGCACAAAGAACGTGTATCGGCGTTGGGTATTGTTTAGTTGATCGTTAAAATGCGAGAACTCGCCCATCTTGTAGGTATCGCTGTTAAAAGAAAAAGGCATTAGCAACAGAAGAAAACAGTTTATAAATAGGTGTTACCTCATCATGGGATCGGTTTCCAGCTTGCCCAGCACAGTGGTATGCGGCACGCCTAACACACGGTCAATGATATGCACATAGCCATTGGTTTGTGCCACATCGGCCTGCAGCACTGTGGCGTTAACGCCACCACCTTCAACAGTGATCACGGCATCAGAATCATCGCCGTTGATATTAAAGTAAAGGAACGTTCTATTATTCACAGTTGGCACCTGAGCGATCTAGAAGCGAATACAGTAACTTAAAATGTGATTTTAAATGTATTTCTGAATGAGAGCATACCATATTGGCATTTTTTTGTCTGATCTTCTCGACGTTCAAGCGATCCTTGATGATGTGCATGTTCAGAATATCGGTCATCTTCTTGCGATCCCTGTAAACAACAGTTTTAGTAGAGATTTCATCTTATCCGGGTAATCGCCAGTTTACCTAATAATATTGTCAATGGAAGATACGTTCCAAGCCTCATTGCTGGGCGCCAAAATGGTCACTTCAGACAGATTGTTTATGCCTTCCAACACTGCGCCACCGGCGTCCATGATCACCTCGTAGAATTTGCGCAGTGCTCCATTCTCGCCATTATCCTTTAAAATAGAAACGATTGTTTATTAAATAAGGATGTAAGTATATTTATGTATCGTATATAACTCAAAAATAAAAAGTTATTAAATTGGGAGTAGGGCGCTCAAGCGATATATGCTTCGATTATAGTGTTTATTTTTATGGAGGGCACAAACATCAAACAGTTATATATTTTAGATATATTCACAACATTTATAATGTTTATAAAATGTAAACAAAAGAATTGAGCCAATTGATTTGGAAATCATGTTTATAAATGAAAAGTAAATGCGGAAAGCGATTCGTCTAGTAGAACTTAAGTTCTGGGTAATCTCAGCGATTGTCGCTGATGCATTTCTGTATTATTAAATCAAGAGGTGATTTCTAATGGTCTCTGGGCATGAGAAACAAAGCATTAAGAATGGAATGTGGGCCCAGGTGGCGATTGTTGTATTTAGTGGGTGAGGTTCAGGGGCAAGCTGATGAATTTTGTGTTTTTGAAAATTGGTTGTGTTATACAATTACTTACGTTCAGAAACTAATTCGGTTAAATCGGTGTACAACGTTAAAAATGCGTATTCATTTTAAAATATTGAACATATATCATAGAAATTGTGTGTTTGTGTCGTATTCGTTTACGAGTATTATTTCAGGTTCCGCGCAGTGTGCAAGTTCCGCCACCGAGTTGGAAAAATGTTTGAAATAAAGTAGTAGGGAAATAGAGTTTATTTACTTTGGTTTCTTTTGCGGAGTTGAATAGTTGCTTAACGAGTATTTATATTGAAATTTGGATTTGGCAAGCACAGCTTTTGACTTAATAAGACTTTTTTAGTTATGCAAAACAATTTAACAAACTTTTAATTTCAGTAGCGTGCACACAATAATCAAGCTTATAGGAATAATTGAAAATTAAAGAACTAAAAGCATTTGACCAAAACCAAAATGAATGAAATATCAGAATATTTGGCAATTAATGTTCACATTTTGACATGCAGTCACAAAAAGAAGAAGTCCACAAATGAAAATAAGAGATATATTTTTAGACGAGACAGTCTGTTTTTATAAACAATTGTGTTCTAAACAGCTAATCAAATTGTTAAGCACTTGCAACATTTTAACTGTGTTGCACCTGCGGCTTTTAAGATCTAATAGAAAGCTGTCACTGATCGAGACAATTGAAGCTACATCAATAATAATAAATGAAGTCTGTTGTGCTCTTTATAATCAATATATCAACAAAGTAAAATTAACTGGTGTTTTGAAAAGTAATTTAAAGAAGTCTATAGAACATGCCTAGGAAACATGCAGGCATACAAATAAATGTAATAAATTCGGCAACAAATGAGAACCACAATACTAACTAAACTTTAGACTAAACATTTGTATATACAAAGGCACGTAATGTTTACTGTACAGATATAACTAACTTCAATAAGAATTGTTTACCTTGAACGACTGTATTTAACGTATTGTTTGTCAAGTGTGGGGATTTTCAGTTTGTATCGAATCAAGTTTCATTTTGTGAGCGATATTTGCATGTACGAGAAACAGAATATAGATCAAACGGTCAGTAAACCGATATGGGCAATGCGCGAATTACAACAAAACGCTAAACAAACAGTCAGAAATGTTGAAAATGTAAACAGTAAGATGAGCCGACTTTGAGCTGATTTTCAATGCACAACAACGTATATAATGTATTATGTAGGTCGGATGTATGTCTGCGATCAGCCATGGACGAGATGCGTCTACAGCTAGAGTAACACTTAAAATAACGTTCAAAGCATGCCGACTGAGCGAACGATCGGGCGAGCTGAGAGCTGAGTTGTGAAGCTATGAATGGAGGAAAGCATTAGTCAATTGCGACATTTTACATGGACTGGACGTGGTTCACCAATGCACTCGATCGATAAATATGCAGGAATGGTGAATGAAGTTTTTGAAATGCGCCAGTGCAAGCAATGCTTCAAGAATTTTCTTGGTTTTTCTTTCAGTAAGCCAATTATGTGTATCTAATTTAAGCGATTTGCTTGCGACTGCCACAGAGTCGGAGTTGGGAGCGCATTGAGCTGCAGTTTGAAAGTGAAGCATTTAAATGGAAAATCGTTTTGATAGTTGTGCCAATTAGAGCCTTGGAAATTGCAGCTCATGATTGTTTGTTGGTGTTGCAAGATAAAGAAAATTGAAATTTGGTTTTTTAAAGATAAATTTACACTAAATACATTGTTTTTTCGTTTTGGTTTTGATTGAATTTTGGCAATACTTACATTACACCCAAAATTTTTTTAAAATAAAATTTATATTTTAAAAATTATTTTAAAATAAAATTTTGCTTTTGATTTTACATGAAACCGAACTAGTTAACATTACGTGCAAAATCTGGGGTGCTTGATGGCGCCAACAAACCTTACACTAATCTCTAGATCTCACAGAAGATCTAAGCAAATTCAGTTCTATGTAGAATCAGACTTTGGGTTTTCGTTTTTGGCAAAGTGTAACTATTGAGTTTTTGAGATCAAGCGTCGCTTTATGATCTGCATACATACATAGATATATTTATGTATATATGTATGTGTGTGTCTACTGTCAATGTCAAGATTATGGTGCTATTTGATACTTTTGTTTTGACTTTGCATATAGAAGAACGGTGGAAATCGGGGACCCTCAAGCAGACGCGCGCCACTTGTTCCTGTCGAGAGAAGCTCAGCTAAATGCAAAGCTTTGTGGTGTGTGTGTTTTCTTTGTATGTTTGCATGTGTATGTGTGTGTGGGTGTAAGCATTTGCTGAGGCAGCTGGCAAGCCCAGCGACCCGACCCGGTGCTGCGTGCCGAGCCAATCAAAATGCCAAGCCTTATCACCAGTCAAGGACACTTTCTATTTATTACTATGTGTGTGGGTGTACGTATCTCGGTTTTGTATTTAAGACTGGGTGCTACGCCCACCTACCTGTAGGAATTGGGTGACAGTCGTATCGATGATCATGAGCGGACGATGGATCAAATGGATCACACCGTTTTTCACAGGTATATTGGCCTTGACAATCTCGGCCAGGACCACACCCTGAGGATGCTTGGCATCGCCAATGATTGTATTGGACTTGACATACACTGCAAGAGGAGGGTGAACGGAGTTTAAGTAATTGTATGTTAAAGACCGTTGAAGGCAATTAATGATCTTACTTTTGCCGTCCTTTTGCTTGAAGAAGCTCACTGTGACCTTGAGCTGATCCTCAAAGGCAGCGGAAGTCTTGGGTTCGTCATGTTGCGAGGCGGCAGTGAAAATGACAGTGTTTGGTATAACATGACCATCGATGACCTTGCCATCCACCAAACTGCTGCGGGTCGAGAGCTGCGTGAAATTTAAACAAATATAGAAATCAACATTTGATCATAGGATGAAAAATATTTTAGCTAAACGCACCTTGAAGCCCTCATCGACGGGCAACAGGAAGGTATGCGCCCCAGGCGCCTGATAGAGAGATTCCTTCTTCATGAGCGTAACCTGGGAGCGATAGGTGCGCAGCTTGTTATCGCCCACGTTCAGCTGATCAGCCTTTTGTATAAATTGTAGTGCATCCAGATTGTTTATTTCTGTCTTGGCAGTTGGCAGCGCAGTGAGTGGATCCAGCACCTCGTCGATAATGTGCATGACCTACACAACAAATTAAAGATAATGGCACAGTTACTAATATCCATTGTATAAATATTCAATTGAAAGATTCGTCACTGACCTGTCGCTTGCCCTCGCGGTCGGTCAGCTCGACGCTGAGTGAGGGTATGATGCGCGCATTGTTCACATAGATGTCACCATTGCGGCTCTTTGTGATGTACAGCGGAGGATTGCCGTTCATGTCCGATGACACGGTCTTTTCCAGTTGATCTTTGCTGAACGCCGCGGTGGCTAAGCGTGGGAGAGAATGGATTTTAATTAAATAATTCGCATGAATCAGAGTATGCAAATACTTACTTATGTGATAGAGGACATGTGTGGGTCCCTTGTGGCGCTGGAAGGCTTCATTGGTGGGCACAAAGATCGTGCAGGAGCGCAGCGAGAGCGTCGAATTGGCAACAGGATTCTGCTCCAACAGACTATAGAACTGTAAGCACAAACGATTGGACATGTTTTAGAATACTTGTATAACTTTGTTGGACAGTGTATTGCATGCACGAAAATATCGAACCAAACAAAACCATGCGTTGGGCTAAACGAGGGGGAGCGCTTGCCTTTTGGCAAACTAACGACCTGTGGGCCAATTCTACTTGCAAATCCATGGCAACGTCAAACAACTGGTAAAACAGAACAGAGCCTGCTCGGAGAGAAAGGTTTATTGAACCAATTACGTAAGCAGCGTCAGGAGCAGTCCATAGGGCGGGTTTGTTGCCTTGTGCCCATTTCAATAACCGAATACATGTACTTAAATTGTGTGTGTCATTACTGAGAGCGTGATGCCTATCAGGACACTGGCAATGGCACATGGAATTGCATTTTCCAAGCGCAGCTACCCTACATAACAGACGCTGACCCTTTGGGCTAGCTACCACCTGCCTGGCGGCACATGCGACCGCACACTTTGCGGCTTCCCAATGTGGCACCACCACCACCAGCACCACCAGCACCATCACCACCATCGCCGTCGACACGCCCCGCTGCACATTCTCAGCCAGCTTTATGAGTGGTGCCACATACGTAGCTCACTTTTTTTCAAATTGACCGTCTCTCTTTAGGTGCTTGTGCATGAATGTGTGTGTGCGTGTGTGTGTTTGTGTTTGTGCAATCTCCCGCACCTTTTTTCGTTTCTCACGTTGTACCTATTTTGGTTGTTTCTCGTCCTGGCGTAGCTAGTGAGTCACGTCAATTTTATTTTAAGGGCTGCCTGGCCACCTTCCCACTGCATGTCTCTTAGTTTGGGCAGGACCATCAAAGGACTTTTTAGTAATTGGAGACGCCAGTTGTCGCTGTCGTTATCGTCGTGCAATGTTATCGTCGCTATTTTGTTGGTTGGTTTCCATTTCACTTTCTAAATGCTTTCGTTTATCTTACTGCTTGCCGGTGGACTGGTGCCAGAGAGTGTGCTTATTGGTTAAGTGAACTGCGGCCAGTTGCGACTGGGTACCAAAGGACAAGGTCTCATTCCTTTGCACTTTGAATTTACGGTTTGAGCTTAAGGCTAATCGCGAGGAACATTTCTGCTATTCAACAACGGGAAAGTTTGCTTCAAACTTGTCATTAAATGAACTTAAGTCGTTTAATATATTTAAAATATATATTCTATTTTCAGAAAGCTAACGTTTTCGACGGACTATCGCGAATACAAACTAATCGAGAGGATTCGAATCGAAAATTGTCTGAGGCGAAAAATACAGTTGCCAGTGCTATATAAGAAGAAGAGTTGTTTATCATGATATCCTTTAATTATAGTAACAATAAACAATATATTTAAAAAAACAACTGTTAATAACATCAAAACATTGCATACTTATGTTAACATAACTTACTAAACCTACTAAAAGAGCGCCATGACTGTTAACAAAAATTCTGATAATGTCTCTGATTACAGATTCTGCTGTGAGCAATGAGGCAATTCAGTTGCAATTATATATTTACATAAATTTGAATTACCAAATAGTAGGCAGATCAATCTTAATGGGTTTCATAGATATAATCTTGCCAGATGAGCTGTCATCGCATAGTCATTGCTCCCCTGGGAGTGTGTGGTGCTTGCTTTGCATAAGTGCAAACTGTCAACTGTAATTCATTACCAACTCCTATTGACAAACAGTGCGAAGAGCGTGGCACACACAATGCAAACTTTTCTTAAATGAAGCGAGGGCGTACATTTATGTTATGTACATGAAAGGGAACATCCCTCGGCCAGCACTTTGCTGTTTCAAAATGCATTTGATTTTCATGCGCAGCGCGCAGTGCCATTGAACCCTGTCCGGGACAGAGGCAGAGTCTGATATTGGGGTGCACCCTGTGCCTGTCCCGGCTAGAGTCAAGGGCATCATGACTCAGAGACTCAGAGAGCCAGACGGCGGTGCAAACAAATTCGGCTAATGCAGCCACAGCGTTGGTCATTTCCAACCCTAACGGGGGGGTGGGATGACGCCCACTCAGAACACAACCCTTGTTTGAAATTTATTAACGAAATTAAGCCAAAAAACATGTAACGGTTTTTCATTAACAATTTTTAAGATAACATTTCTTGTTGTTGTTGTTGTTACAGCTTACCCTAACTGGCAAAAGGCGCCTGAAGGATTTGGCAGTGTTCTGAAAGAGAGAGAGAGAGAGAGAGAGACAGAGAACCGCTGACAGTTCAAATTTTGTTTGCAACTCACATATTTTGTGTTTTTTAGCCAAATTTATTTAATTTGTACTAGACAGGGAACAAAACAAGCTACGAGTACGAGGGCTGTATGCATATGTTTGGGTGTGTGTATCTGTGAGTACGTTATCATTCAATGGGTCGTGTCACATGAGGGAGTATATTTCGGCAGCTAATGGCGTAATTGCTACACTTGGACGGGGATCAGAAACGCAGAAAAGAGCAGCCGGCTAGCCTGGCCAGCTTCCTGCGCAGCACTTGATCATCATTGATTAGCTGCAGCATTGCGGGTGTGAGAGTTCTCCAATGTAATTGGTACAAATTATGCACACATATATGGTACATTGTATGCGCATGGCAAAGTTTTTGGTATAATTGCAGCAACCCCCTCGAGTTGTGTTTTAATTGGTGTTGAAACATCGGGCAGAGTGGCAAAGACTGACGAGGGGAGCGCAGCTACGATCGGAGGCCGCATCGCATGCCAGTTTAACGTTTAACGTTCTCAATGGATCTCTAATGCATCTTGCCAGATCTTTAAGTAATTGTACAAATATATGCGCGTTTCCATAGGCGTCCATTAAGGTCAGCCGCTCATTCGCGTTTTACGTATTTTTATTCGTAGAGTACGAGGCTCACATAACGCTGCCAGCCGCTACATATCACGCGTCGCGGCATGGATTGTATAAGTATTGTAATCTTAAATTAAATTTAATTGAATGCGATGCTCGCGTTGATGGTCCAGTTGATGTATGTAGTTGATGTGTGTGTATGTGCCTAGGTCGTTCCGAGCTGTTGAGTGTATGCCGCCCCCACACACGCCGCAAGCGTGCCCCATCCCAGCCAAGCCTCAGCCGATGGCTCTGTCCTCAGTCAAAGGTTAAAAATTAAAATGATAAATATAAATGCAATGCACAGCGAAGATGACGTCGCAACGTCACAAGCTGCACTGCCGACAGGAAGTTTAGGGTCAGCGGAGGAGGTCAGCCGTACAACGACCGCACATTGCTGAGTGTGTGGATGGGGATTCGATCTACAGATGCCCTCTTCCACACACACCAGCGACTGCTCATCCTTAGGTTAATGAGTTTCGCTGGAAAATTCACTCGAGGAATATAACATAATTTGTAATTATTACAATAGGTCTATGTGGATTCAAAAGAGTGCTTCAACATTGTTTGACAAGAAATTCGAACTATCTGAGTGTTTACATTTGGGAATATTATTGAAAGAGACTGTCAAAGGAAATATTACATTCAAGATTTACGATTGCACAATTATTTGAAATGTGTGCGTACAATTTAGCGCAGCCAAGTTTTGCCAAATAAACTTAAATAAAAGAAAGGAAAGCCACGGCTCAGATAGAATATTGTAAATTATGATCCACAAAATTTTAATTGTATTATATAATTATTCCATCGAATGAATTATTAATTCCGAGTAAAATAAATAGTCCAAAGAAGCTCTAGAGCTTTTACAGATGCAGATATTGCCTATGATTCAAAGTGCTTTTTTTAATGCCATTTGAAATTTTGATATTTAAAAGTTATATACAAAATATGCCCGACACTACATACCCTATACATGTGGTATGCCTATTCATCTATCTAAACCATCAGACTGTAATGAGTTTTGCACATAATGAACATATTCCGAACTTGTTATGAATAGCGCATGCAAGTTTTTTTTTGGTTTTTTAAATACAGTGCGCATACGGTATAGTGAACCGTTTACTTGAAAGCAAAAGTCTTGAGAGCGGATAAGCAGCAAAGACATTTCTTAGATTGTAGAAAAGACTTTGGCAAATGTATACACAAATGCTTAGTCTATTGTGGATACGGATGCACAGAATCCTACTCGCAACACGTTGATGCACCTCATGAGCACGCTCTGTTTGGCTGTAGCTGTAGCTTTGCTGTTGCCACAATCTGCACTAGTTTAGGCCGCATACGTACGTATAGTATGTACAGTATGCAGTATATACAGAAAGTATCTCTACAGGTAACGGCAAAGGTACTGCATATATCTTTTCATTGTGGCGACAATTACAGGTGAGGTAGTTCGCAGTTAGCAGCTCGCACGCTTTCTTTTCAATTGTGAAATTTCTTCTGGGTTTTTAAAATGCTCGCTGGCTAACAACTATTTTTGGGCATTAAATGCTTAACAGAGTAGAACGGCAGACAGACGGACAGTTGTTGTTATTATTGTTGTTGTTTTAGGCTGGCAACCTTTAATGGCTTCTGACTTTTTACACTTTTATGTGTTGCCCATATGTCTGCGTGTTTGTGTGTCTGTCGGTGTTTGAAGGTGCAAAAAGGCAAACATAAACATGTAGGTAGAAAACTGTTATGCTCGGTCGACGGCAACGGCCGGCTTTGTAATGCTCCCGCTTGGGTGTGTTGCTGCTTTTGCATAATTTATTTTTCTTTTTTTTTCTATATCTTAGTTTATTTTATATAATGGGCTCAGCATGCATACCGAATGAGGCCGCATTTGGACTTTGGACCGTGCTGCGGCTAAAAAGGGTTTTGCCATCATCGATTTTTCAACAGCAACAACAAGTGCAAATGTTAAAGGTCAAGGACATAAAGAAGCAGGCAGCTGCTGAAACAGACGAATACCTGTGCGGGTGTATCTCTGCCTCTCCCTCTCTCTCGCTTTGTCAACTTTCTGCACAAGGATTTTCGTTTCAAGGACATTTGCAGACTGGCTTGACCAAAATATGTAAGCATGTGTGTTGGCTAACAGCTATGTATGAGTAAGTGTACAAGTGTGTGTGGATAAACAACTTTAATTACTGCTAAGAAACAGCTGGCTAAGCACCTAAATACATGTGTTTTCTATTTTGGGCAGAATATTTACTTTGTTTGTTGTGTGTTGTAAGACTCACCTGCGAAAGTTCGGAATCGTCACGCAATTTGTCCACCAAATCAGCGGCAGCTGCATGCGCTGTGCAGCAGCAGAGCAGCAGCAGCGCCGCTAATGCGCCCGTTCCACAGCTAACAAACATTTTACAATACTCGCGCACTTGTTTTTGCTGTAACGACGCAACAGCGACGACGACGACGGCAGCGGCTTCGATAGCGACTTTTGAGGGTTGGCAGTATTTGTTACTGTATTTGCAAACGCGCCTTTATGCGATAACTACCTGCAATTTAAGGGCAAGGAACACATATAAATTCATATATAATCAATGGCAACTAAGCCATCCCCCCTGACACACACACACACGAACTTAAGAGCACACGAACTGAGCTACTCAAAAACAAGCGCTAGCTTGGCTTTAAATATTGTTCACATATACACGTACACACACACAAATACCGTTATGTCACATGAAAAGCATAACAGCCGCCCAAGAAGGAGACCAAAAAAACAAGAGACAAGCTAAGCTGCGCTTATTATATATTGTTTTTGGTTATTTCTTATCTTATTTTTGCTTGTTTAATTGTTAGGCACATTGCGTTTGTATATGGCCAATGCTTGCTACTGTGAACGTTGCTACCGCCAATTTTCCCATTCTGCTGCCATTCGTGGCTCTCGCTAACAGCTCAAGGAGAAGTTCTTAGAAAGAACCAAACCAAGCCAAGCCACGCCTCTGCAGTGGGCACTAACTAAATTATGCAACGCGCCTCTGGGCAATTGTTGTCTGCCGCGTAACACTTTTGGTATTTGTAAATGACCCGACTTTACTCTCTCGTATTACAGAGTATTGGCAATTAATAGCGAACGAGCTAGTTCTTTAATATGTCCGCTTACTCCACTTATTTTGTACTTCTTTCGTACATATGTACATATGTATATTTGGAGCAGTAGCAAAAAATCTATACTAAGCGCAGCAGCAATGCACGATTTTTAGCAGTACCAGAGTCCCACTGAAGCCACCACAGCAGTCAATACATCCAAACTATACCGAGACACTGACGTACACCACGCTTCAACGTTTTATTGCAACTAAGCCGAGAACAGGTTTTCAAGAGAGCGCACCCATAACAGATACAAAACATGTCTGCAACGAATGCTGTTATTTTACTGTTGTGCTCATTGTGAGCTGTTAACAAGAGCAATATCGATAAGTTAATACCAAGACGATAGTTGCCTGATTTAAATGTACATAATAGAGCGACAAATGGTAATATAAAAAAAAAAACCAAAATATAGCAATATGCAAACTGATCCAACTAGCGACTGAAAAAATGTTAATAGCAATATCTGCAGTCAATGAAATATGTAATTTTATTCTTTTATTTTTCTTTTTTAAGTAAAACAGTTCACAATTATTGTAGCACTTGGAATTAATTGCTCGCCTCGTACTTTGGAATATCAAATCAATTCCCAATAGAATTTGATTAAAATATATTTCCCTTGCAAAACCATGAAATTATTTAATACAAAAAAAATCATATGCAACAATTTAGCTTCTAAGGGAAATTAATTAACTATAAGTACGTTAGGCTTATAACCCACCATATAATGGCAGCAGGAATGCAAAAGGCAATAAGATGCGCAAGTACATTATATATAGAGAGCCTGCAAAAGATAACGATGGTTAAATAAGTATTAGCTAATTGCTGGGGGATAATAAGTAAAAATTGTTTCTCAACCTACCGTTTACATAGCTTCCTTGCGGCTTGTAAGGATTCCTCAGTTAAGTTTTCCTTTAGCAGGAACACACGGATTCCAGCGGCGGCTGAGGTCAAATAATCTATCCAATCAATACTATTCATGTCAAATTCATAGATTTTTCGATCCTGTGGCGACATGCATTCCAATAGCCGATCAGAATTAGTCATCTCAAAGCTCCAGCTAGATATACCGAATGGGACTAATCTGTTAATGCCCTCGTGTACTTTCCTGTAGATTGATTTCATTCGTGGTTTCTGACCCTTGACGCGTAATCCAATATCGATGAAGAATGCAGGCAGATGGTGATAAAATGCTGACAAGATCTTGAAGACCCAAAGGCTAGGGGTACAAATGATGAACGGAAACCACATCATTTGATTTAATGGAAAAACATATCTTTGCTCTTCTATTGTGTCTGTGAATGTTCCCCATAATATTGGATTTTTAGCTGTTGGAACAAAATTGTAAATAGGTGGATCTGGTGCAGGTAACTGGCGCTGGGCAGTTTCCACAGCTGTTTGCCAGGCGGAAGCCAGAATTAAATTTGCACAAAAGTCAACCGGCACAATATTGCTGCGGGCTTTCTTGTTTAATATCATGACGCGTACAACGCCAAGTGCACAGCCATATACTATTGAAATGGGTCCATAGAGGTTATCAATCCATCCTTTGGAAGGCTCCCTAATGCTGGGAAGAACTTAAGCCGAAGATACAAACATTTTATTAAAAAGAAACTTTAATCTCCACCATCACGTACTCATGCCTGGTCGAAATACGCATATCGGTAGACCGCGTCCCTCCCTTTGCACCACCTGCTCCGCCAGCGCCTTTGTAAAGGTGTACGTATTGGGATAGTTGCCAAGCAACGCAGGTGTCATTTTGTCTATCAGCTTGTTGCTTAGCCGATCCTTCAGCGCCAAAACCTCGTCAGCTGTGCAGGCCAATAGCTCAGGATAGAAGGACTCCTTGATGTGCTCAGCCAAGCAATTTGAAAACGCCGTGGACACATGGACAACTGCCTCCAATCGACCCATCTCCTTGGCTAGCTGCACAATTAGGCGAGTGGCCCGCGTGTTGATGCTTAATGCGATGCTAAGTAGCTCCACAAAGTTAACTGTGGCTGCGCCATGGATAACCACTTGCACCTCCTCAACGAGCAGTTTCCTGTCTGCCTCGCTCAATCCCAAATCCGGTAGTTCACAGTCACCGGCTATGGGTGATACCCTCTCCAAGTAATTGGCATTTGATTTAAGCACTTCCCTAAACAGCTTTTGAAGGAGTATTGATTTATGCTAAAAAAATACCCCTCCGATTGCAGTCCACTTACATAATTGCTGCTAAAGTCGGACATGCGGCTCTTGATTTCCTGTCCACGTTTGGACCTTATTAGAATATATATACGTTTCACTTCTGTTGCTCGCAACAGTTTTTCAATGATCACTGAAATACAAGGCAATATCATACACGTCGAATTATAAATCACATGTTAAATATCGTTTTATCTTTGACGGGGTCAGGAAAATTCCTTTTAGTATATACGTTCACCTACTTCTTCCCAGAAATCCACTCCCACCGGTTAGGAAAACTGTCTTATTTTTATAGAACTTAGAAATTTTGGAATCCATTTTATTATAAAGAAAGTTTTCTAATCAAGGCAATTGCTTGACAACTAAAATAAATTTTTCGTGGTCATGCCTTTTATATAAAAAGGTATATAGTACCTTCGACTAAGACTGTATAAACTTAAAATAACGTAACCCATTGAATTTTAATGTGTATATGCGAATGAGGGCATGTCCAGTGCACACAATCGGTACTCACAAATCTACATATAGACATTACGTACTTATTTTCTTGTTATTCATATATACTAATACATGTATATAGGAAGTCGTGTCGTATCGGGGCACCTGCCTAACGTAGCCATATATTATTCCACTTACAAATAGGAAAAAAATAATCAAGAATTCCGTTGGGGGGTCATTGTTGTTGTCATGCTTTGATTCAATTTGCTGTTAACGGTATGCGATATCAAACGTTACTTTTCTGAACGGCTTATAATAAAAGGTTTGATGACAAAGGTGACCAAACCATGGAATAGTTACTATACAGAAAAAATACCGAGAGCGCCCATTCCTAAATAGCAAAAATAAAAAACAGCTAAAAATAAACGCATACCGTAGGAGTATCTAACAATTGCAATTGAACTAGGCAGCTAGCTGGCTTTTTAAGTAATTAAGGCTTAAAAAATTACCGATGTTTCGAAAGCAGCAACAGAGTTTTGTGTGTTGCAAAGCACGCTGTTGACAACTGCAAGATACTTCTCAACACTGAATGAAAACTCAGCTGTTTGACAGCTGTGAGTTGTGTAACTTTTCTGGATTCGATTAATTTCGGGATGGAATGCGCTCGTAAAGTTTTACGCATTTTGCCAAGAAATCCTCAAACATTTAGGCGCAGCATAGCCATGACGTCGTCAAGCCGTGCTAAAGAGGTAATTGAACAGCTGAAGGAAACCAATCCCTACTATTTCAAGTATGCTGACAAGATAGCCAAAATGCAACAAACTTCGGCCGAGGAGTTCTTGGATCGTATTGAGCGCGTAATGAAGCCCATCGTTGACGGAAAAAGTCAGGCTAGGTGAGCCAAAGTAGCATATTATTATGATTCTGATTGTGTAAAATGCCCATCCATTTAGATCCTACTCAGAGCTATTGAATCCCAAAGAAAAGCTGGCCACGGATCAGGCTGAACTGCCCCACAAGAAGCTAACAGACATCATGAAGATGGAGCTAATTGCTGATAAGAACGCCGAGGAGATATCGCAAATCTGGATCGAATACCACAAAACCAAGGATGTGCTAGCTGCCACACTGACAACGGCCCAATACGAGACACTAACTGGACGAGCCAAGGAGCATCCAATCTTTCTGTTGCCACTGCCACGCAGTGAGGGTTTTGAGTTCATCCTGTTGCAGTTTGCCGCAAACACGGTTCATTTTACTCCGCTGCTGGCCTACCAGGTGCATCATGAGAATGCACCCGAATGCCTTACACTGGTGCATTACACCGAGATGCAGGACAAGGGAATCATACTAATGCGTGGCGAGTACGACACAAAGGTTCTAACTGCACAGGAGGCCCAGTGTCTGGCGAATGAGCTGCAAATGTTTTACTATATGACAGACGAGAATAAGTTAAAACTGCTGGAGACATTCACCAAACGTCCAGATGACTTCAAGCACATGGATCTCATAAAGGAAGTTGAAAACATACAATTGGTTTAAGCTTAAATCAAGTTCTATCTTAAAATTGATTAAAGTAAAACTAAATCGAAACGAAGAAAGAGCAGAACATTTTAAATCGTATTGGTTCGACATAATAAATTTAATTCCCAGCTGTCTGCCACCTTCTAAGGTCGTTCATGATTAAGCAAAGAAACAAGTAATTTACCATATAATCATGGATATTTTGCAATGAACATTTAACTTTATTTAACATTCATATTTTAAGTATTCTTTGGTATTTTTGCTACCAGAAATTGTTGTATACATTTAAACTATTGCTCCAAAATGATGCAACAAGATCTTAAACTTTATTCTCTCTCTTCGCCCCATCATTAAAACATTTCATCTTCGCCAGCGACGTGTATCTACAATGGAGATATGCATACTTAATTTGTTGCCCGGTTTTTACTAATCTATTGGATATTCACATACCAATTCACCGCCGTTGTCATTGATAATTTCATTATTGTTGCTGTTAATGCCATTTTCAAGTATTCGATTGCGAATTGCCTGCATTACAGAGCCGCGCTTTCCAAATCTCACGCGTGCTCTGTCGCCATAGTAGACGTCGAGGTCCTGCAGATACTTTAATGCGTCCGCCATGGTGCTGATTTCGTTGTTGCGCGGCGGGCGCGCCTTGGATGCCTCCACGTTGCAGCCAGCGGCAAACAGAGCGAGTGCCACGCAGACAACCAAAGTGCAGCGCATTGTTTGGGACATGATGCGATTACCTGCGTACATGAGCAAGACGGATTGAAGAGTAGGTGGATGGAAAAAAATTGATTGATGTTTGAGTGCTAAGCCTAATTGAAATTTTATTCAATATTCGCTATATTTGGTTAATAGCAAAAGTGCTCTTGCATATATTACTTTATGGCTATATAATCGCATTTATTTGCTTCAAACAAAGATTAAATCTTGGGAATAAAAGCCAATTGCTAATTGTTATATTGTGATTTGCATAACTAACTACTAGTTACTGGGTATCTAGTTATAAGCTCATATTATCTGGACTTGATAGACGTATACTGGCTCATTAGTAACCCATTTACGGGTCTGACTAGGGCCATGGATATTTGTATCCAGTGGCTATCTTACAAACGTACATGATAATTTGCATTGGCCATACAATTATCGCTTCGTTTATGTACTAGTTCCTCCGTATTGCAATCAAAGGCATCTGACGTAAATCTAATCTAATTGCCCGAAGAAAGCTATAGTTTAATTGAACAAATTAGGTATTATAAGTAGTTAGGGAAACTCCGTCATGATAATCTCAATTTTCTGGCACACTAAGCAGATATGTAACACGAATATATCTTTTTTTAACACACGAGCAAAACGCGAACTCATTGTTCGTTTTTTTTTTTTTTTGATTTATATCTATGCAAATTTTTATAAGCCAATTAACAACTTTATGTGGGCACAATACGATTTTGCGAACTCTTCCCAGCTAATATATATAATGCACTGCAAATTTCGTAATTAGCACAAAATATAACGCAGCATTGAAGTAAATTAATATACCCTAAAAAATTACTGTCTCATTCTCATTATTAATTATTATTAATATTTAAAAGTCTAAAAAATTAAGAAAAAAATTTATTTATATTTTCGGTGCTTACCTTTAACTGGTGAGTATTGACAAGTAGCTAATTAAATTTGCACACGTATGTTGCATGCAACGTTGTCCAATGGCGCAACAAGTAACTGACGTCTCGAATGCAGAATTATGAATGATGACCGGAAACTGCCGAACAAACGGGCAATAGGTCAACGGGGTGTTGTACGGGAGCAATTGGTGAGCCAGGAGCAAGTCAACAGGCAGCGGATGGAACCAACGACCGAAGGTAAATGGTAAACGAATCAGCGCAGCAACAGGCATTTATAGTCGAACACGTCGTACGCACCATGACCTAGATACAGCTGCAGGATGATTCGCCCCGGGCACCCGCTCAGCGTTGCTTGGCAGCGGCGAAGCCTCAAAAATAAATTCATATGCAAGCTAATTATGTAGGTAAAGTTTTTGGACCAGCTGGAACGGAAACAGTCCCGACAATAACGCCAACGCTAACGAATACTGACAGTTGGCTAACGAGATATCGCGAAATGCTGCTAGATATTAATGACAAAATGCGATGCGAAGGATTAGCGCCTGCTGTCCCCACCTGAGCGCAGAGTCGATATGCAAATGCCAGCCTACTGGACACTATCATTAATTAGAATTATTTGATTATTTTTTAATTGGCGCCCGGCTTTGGCGGCTGTGATTTGAGGCACGGTTTGACGCCGTTACGGCCACAAGTAAATTATATGTATACATAACATACATATATAAATATATTATTTATCGGCATGCCAAAGTATTCGCACTGAATTGCTCTGTAATTTGGGGTCATTCGTGCTGTTGCCTCGACAACGAATGCAGTTCTATAATCTTTAACTTCTGGTTAAGTGCGTATACGTAACATGCATTACGAATACGCCGCGTTATCCGCATCTAAATACAACAGTCTGTCGTCATAGCCACGATGACTTTTCTAAATGCTTATTATTATATTCGTATTAACTTTAAATGACCTGGCTAATTGTCAAGTAGCAAACACAGTACGGCTATTAATTTAGTTGGTTTTTTTATGCTCTTGTTGGTGTTGCTATTCAATATAATATAGTATGAATAAAGATATACTGTTTTCAAAGTGCACCAAATGCAATTAAGCTCGTTAAATATTCATTAGAGCTGACCGACAGCGTATCATATTTAAATTTAATTGGTTCACCGCTTTGCTTGTTCCTTATTGTTAGTTTTAGATTAGAGCACAGATCAACAAGCTACATTTAAAGAGAACATTTTTTCCTGTATTATTAAGTTGGAAAAAGGCTCCTGCCTGACCTTAACCTATATAATAATCTATCACATGCCTTCAAGCTGTGTCGTAAGTAATTGCTAGCTTTGGGGGATTAACATCATAGTTAAAGTTTCCATCAATTTACATATGATCGCCGTTCTATGCTCTCACTTCTTGTTTGTTGGCTTTCACAGCAAGTGACGCTGTTGCAACGGGGGGAATCCCTAGCTTTAAGTGCTTCACACACTCATTGCCCAACTCGTGCCTTGTGCTAGTTCAGTTCAAGGATGTTCATAGGTACACTCATTGACGCTGTATATGCAGCTTATTGTGCTGTGCTCTTTTCTCGTCTTTCTCACCTTCCAAGTGTTAAAATGTCAGCGCGACTTTTTATGGCATCACAGTAAGGGCAACTTGAGTAGCCGATCTAACAATCCGTAGTTTGGATACAAAATAATTATACCTACCATATAGTACAGTTATAATTTGTAGCAGCATGCAAATGGGGTTTCCCTTGTTAAGAAGAAAACACACGCATCGCGTGTTGTTTCCATCCGATGAATTGGTAAAAGGTTTCCTGTTTTATTTGAAACGTTATATGGGCCTAGCACTTAAGCAAATTATACTAGGCAATTTGATAAATATAATTTCGTTGTTTTAGTCGTTTAGTCGTTTTCTTCTAGAAAATGTTCACATAACATATTTATCTGATAGCTTACGTGATTCACTTGTTCCAATAGCCAAGCTTCGAAGAGGATGTTAATTTAAATTTTACAACGAACTATTGTTTTAATATTCTTAGCGACAATTTTCTTACCCTGTAGTGCATCGGCTAATATATACAAAAATAATAAATAATCGCTTCATAATAGGTGTTGAAGTCGTACAGTTTTCAAATATTTAATTGGAATGTACATTTGTAAACAATTCTAATTGCGACTAGGGGAAAACTAGAGAAAGTCAATAAATAAAAAGGAACTGTGATAAAAATTATTATTTTTAAATTCTTTTTTGGAAAAATTCTAATAAACTTAAATTTGGCTGCAAAATGGGGCATTGTTGATGCAGCATTCCAGTTCCAAAAGGAATAATATAACTTACCCTTTGTCTCAGCAATTTGAATACGAATACTATATGAGCAATATTAAAGTCCATATATAATTAAAAATATATACAATATTATATTAAATTGAATATACTTTATGTCGTCTTTTTTAATGTTAGGTTCTACTTTAGATGCTATAATTGTAATGCAATGATTCCTTCCAATACCCCAATTCCTGCAATGCCTTTCATTTTAACATAGTTTAAAATGTATTTCTGTCTAGTCGCCATATGCGATGTATAAATATTGAAGATCTAGAGGTTTCGCTTAATGCTCTTAAGTGTATTAAAAGATTTAACATTGTTGTGCTTTCTAATTATTTGCCTTTTACCAAGTACAAACATTGGGTGATAATATTTTTCCGCTTACGTATTGCTTGTTTTGTGAGTCAGAGTACGTGCAAAATATTTCCACCATAAGGGTACAAAGCACATCCTTGGCTAAAGCTCAAAGCGTCATGGAAAGCTTTCTGTGTTGGAGGGCTTTCTAAAGCATTCAAAAGCACTTCAGCCGTTTTGGGCGTTGTTAATATGCCATAATTATGGTGTGACTTGCTATAAACAACAATTAACAGTTTACAACATGACAACTGCTAGTTAGTGGGACCCAATGACTGGACATTTAAGCTTGAGTTAAATTTCGCGTGCGCTCAAGCTACACTTAAACGCTAGAGTCCAGACGAAATTTAACGCCAGAACATAAGACAATGGCTATAAAAATATAAAATAATAAAAAAAATAATAAAAAAAAAAAAAAACAGCAAACGCGCTGTCAAAATGTACGCAATAACAATTAAGTACACAAATGAGAACATTAGAAACACGCGATCTTTACGTGGAATTAGAGTTTAGTTTGGTTTAAGGTTCGGCTAACGCTCGGGTCACTTTGTGCCTAATGGACCGCCCTGCCAGAAGCCGTTGCCAACTAGTTTTGCGTTGCTCACAATATCCACCTAATGGCCAGACGCTTTTAGCGCAGCGTTCCGTCCGACGGCCGCATCGAACACGTGACCTGGCTATTGGCCACGATCTAAATCGATCAGATTGATAATTATCCGCATTGCTACTTAATAGTTATTTTCTGCTAAGTACCAGCCCCGGGCGCCCTGCGCTCCCAGAAATTGGTTTTAAATGCGAATGTTTTATGAATATATGTACATGTTCTAAAGCGGCGGGGCACGTGTGCGTGCTTATTAGGGATTAAATAGAGTCATTTGTGCTATTAAATGTAAAACAACGTTAAGGCGGCTAAGTGATCTTTAAAATGGCGCACCACAACCACATTCACAACCACAGGCACAGCCGCCGACACAGCTAGAAAAAACAACAACAAAATAACACACATCGGCGAACTTTAGTAACCCCCGACAGCCACAAATCCAGATACAGTGCCGATTAACTCATCGTTCTGAGGGGTTTGGAGCAAATAGCACTCTGGTAATATTTGAGACTTAGACTACTTAGTTGCAAGTACTTGGTGATTATTAAAACGCTGCCAGTTATGTTTGAGCTGTTGTTGTTGTTGTAGTTGTATTTGTTGCTGTTGTCGTTGTCGTTGTTTTAGCTATTGACACCCAGGGACCGGCGCTGACGTCGCGCCGCCAACGTCAGCGTCAGCGTCGGCAGAGGCTTGAAAGTGGACCGGTTCATGAAAAGATTTTCGCGCTTTAACGCTAGATGCTTGATCGCAGCCCGGTCTACGTCTGAGCTTGGTCGCAGTTAACGTCTCAGTCGGAGCTCAGCTGCCCGGCCCAAGAGTCCATATAAAGGTACTCACTGCCGTTCAGCTCAGCGCATTAAGTTGTCAAATATCGTGAGAATAGGAAGTGCGTGTCAGTCAATTCGCAAATAGTTACAACAATAGCAAAAAAATATAAATACAAAAAAAAAAAACAACAACCAACAAGTGCAACTAAACAAGTACATCCAATTTAATTACATTTAGTTAGGCAAATAGTCGGGAAATTCTGTGCAAAGTGCATTTCGGATCTATCAAAACGTAGTCAAATGGATTATTGATACTAATTAATAAACGAAGGTCCTTGATGTCTTATTTAAAGATATTTACGGTATATTTATTCAAATTAACCGTAAAACAACCCATGCAAATTAATCAGAAGTTATAATCTTTGGACTTGTTATTGTTAATCGTTTTGTTTGCCTGCAATAAAGTTTTATATACATATGTACAAATTGCTCAAGTAACTGATTTTCGTCAGCAAAACAGGCCACTATAAATATCTGTTAATTGATTGCCACACAGTTTTAAATAGTTGAAATAGTTGCGAAAATCGCGATAAATCAAAAACATTTGCAGCTCTCAAAATGAAACTGTTCACAAACAAAACCCAGCGCAATGCAAGTGAGTAAATTAAAGTGCAGCCCGCTCTTAATTAAGCCATACCGTTTATTGTCCAATTTAACCAAATTCAAAGCCCCATTAAAGATAATTCGGAACGCCTTTAAAGTAAAGGGTACCTCCCGATGTGATCGTTAAAAATATTTAGCACTTGCAAAACTGGTTGTTAAATACATTTTGCAACTAGTGTCTCTGAATGCTATTAAGCAGGATTTGGGGGAATGTCGAAAACTTGACGAGTACTTGCATGCAAATCACGTCAAAAGTATGCAGCAATATCCAAGCGCTTGAGATTTACAGCTTAAAACCTATTTCAAGTTGGACAGAAGAAGTTAAGAAGTTTAGAAAGAAACTCGTTTCTCAAACAAACATGATTAAAAAATTAAAAAACAATCTATTCAGATATTTTTCTGTTAATATTCTTGACCCAACCATTAAAGAAACATTTTAAGAGTGACACAAACGTAATAGAAACATTTTTATGTTTTTAAATAAATTTTTGTTTTTTTTTTTGCCAGTAACCAGAAAATATTGCAAAAAGAACTTTAGTCAGAAGCTGTCTTTAAAGTCATTAAAGCAAAAATTACAAGGAGCTTAAAGCATAGTTTATGAGAGTAACATAATATAAATTACGTACAAAATATTTTATAATCTTATATTATAACTCTAGTTGAAGACAAAAAAAAATGTATCTACTCCAAAGGACTTTGACGTGCTGCCAAAAATAAATGTAAAGCAAAATAAATATTTCATTAAATTTCTATAACACTGAAGTGTCGTTTAGGTAATTTTGAATCCCGCATTTAAATTCATGTTTACATTTATACATAAATTGATATTGATTTGCCACTGTAAAAAACTGGCCGGTGCCCAGACCTGGTTGATCTGTTTTCAAGCAAATCGGTGAACTTGCCTTAATCTGGCTGTAATTGCTGTCATACTTATCATTAGATCGTTTTGACAAAGTCATTGAATATAAACTAATTCCAAAGTTTAGTCTCACTCACAGACACACACTCACACACACACACACACACACACGCATATAGAGATGTACGTGTATTAACGGAACTTAATTGTAATTAAGCTTGCATAAATTAAGATTTGAAGTTAAGAGCGTTTGTGACTGTAACGTCACGTACTACCTTACCATGAAGTCCGATTTGATGACGATTTGAATCAACAAAACGCTTTGAAATTGAAGGCGAACTTTGAGCAATGTGCAGCATTGGCCTTGAAGATGAATTGGGTGTGATTAGTAGGTATCATATACTATATTTTAAAAAGAAGATGTCAACCGTTTCCAAATTGACCCACATCTGTGTATGTGTGTGAGAGTGTTACAATTGGCCAAGCGTGTGAAAGTATTCCCCAACTGACAAACTTTTCCTTTCCTCAGAAGTGTCAACAGATGTAAACACAAATGCTCGACAACCATATTAACGTTTCCAGAAAGAATATTTGGCAAAGTATAATATTTGCGAAATTCTTTAGCGCTTTTCGAAATCGTCACTCATTGAAAATAGATATAATGCACAACTTAACGTGTGCTAAACAATGTAAATAACAATAAATTGTAAAGGCAATAGCGACAATAGACAAAAAAAAAACAAAAACAAAAAGCACCTATCCATTTCAAAGCCAACTGCCGAACGGAACTGAGCTCAGATCTGAGAAGCGGTCTGGTCTGGTCTGGTTCTGATGAGCCTGCACCTGGCGTTGTTTGCATTTCCTTATTGGCAGCCTGTCTAATTGCTGGCGAGACTATTTAAGGGTTTTGGGGTTTTTTTTCTATATATATAACTTTTTTTTTTGAGAGAAGATGATTAACTGCAACCAACCATGTAAGATTAATCATTAGCTAAACACAAGCAAACAATCGACTGGCAAACAAACGAGATGACAACAACTTCAAATGCTATGCGACCGTATCTTGTGGTTACATACGTTAGCACAAGCACACATCTTATATCTGGCCGCCTGGCTGACTAGCTGGCTGGTTAACTTGGCTAATACATATACTTAATTTATTGCCATTTGACGGAAGTCAAACACACTCACACACACACACACACATACACACACACACACAGCCACATTTGAAGGCGTCTGAAGTATAGATTGTTGCTGGCCAGATACAAAAACAATTCATTCTTGAATTTTAGTGGGTCAGCAGCGACGTGTTGCCATTCGCTGCCGTGTGAGTTCAACAATTTCGTACCGTGTGCATTTTGAGCACCTTTTTTTTTATTTATTTATTTAATTTTTTTATCTCAGCTTTTAATGCTATGCCAAATTGCAGCGAACTTGAACTTCAAACTGCCGTAGAGTGCCGTCAGCCGACAACCTCATAACTGTGAGATACAAATGTATCTGTAGGTTGCATATAGTAGCTGAACCACTGTGATGCTGTGCCTCAGCGCGGCCAGAGAAACGGGTTCAGAGCTCAACCGAATCAGCTGTCGGACAAAACAAGCGCCGCTCATTCATGCTCATTTCTACGGCATTTGGCTTTTGGAACGTCGTCTCAGTCGCGTTCGAAACTTTGGCAATGCAGTTGCATAATTTACCCCAGAGTCCGCTGTTTCGATCGTTGTCGAGCGCCGATCTACGTCTTTTTTTTTTGTCTTTCCTATCAGAGATTCGTTGCAGCAGAATAATTTGAGCGCTTTGTTTGGTACCTAATTTATGGTATGTCTTGTCTGGTGACTGGAAGCAATCGATGTCTATGACTGGCTAACTGGCCACCACTTATGGCCATGTACGTACGTGAGTGTGTGTTAGCGCAGCAATGCGATTCAAGGCAAGGATACACACACTCATACACACGCATTTGGTTAGCTATACCTGTAAACATACAGTGGTATTTGTTATCATAGATGGTCTCTTGCGTTTTGTTTTGATTTTGAAATCTTGAACTTATTTGCGCTGGTGGCGTGACAAAGCTGACATCAAAACAAAAACAAAAGATCGACGAAACTATTAATGAGTTAATGCTGTTTTGTAGCTGTGCGGGTGATTCAAAGATATGGCTTATAGCTTAGGGGCTTGGTTAGCTTGGTTCATTGATCTGACCATGTGCTTAGTGCGGATTCTTAGTGTGATATATTATTGTTTTATATCTTATTGTCAGGTACTTGCGGTTTTGTCAATTGCTGTCTTTTTATTTCGGGGGGATTTTGTTAAATGATTTCTCTGAAAGATGAAAAAAAATGGGTTAAAACTCGACTCTTGATTTATGAATTGTGTGTTGAGGTGGAGCATGCACGGCCATGATCCCCAAAATCGGCCAGACATGCGAACGAATTCTTTCACAAATAAGTTACGCATAGTTTGTAATCAGTTTATGATCACATCCGCAACGAAACTGCTTCAATGATAACAGTCTTGCTGGAAGGTGAGCATCTTGTATGTGTATTTCCAAAGTGAGACAAAACGAGTTTTCACACGCCGCTATAAATAAAACAAAGCTCAAAGAATGTTGGCTACATTGGCATATTGAAAGTATTTAATATTTTATGATATCTTTACTTTAAACTTATTTAAGAGTGTTATTTAAATAAATATAGTTCTTATCAAGTCCGTTGCAACTGCCATGCGAGGTCAGCTCCAGATACCTTCAACCCGCTCGCAATTCCCACAAATCAATCAGATACAGATACAGACACAGCATAAGAACATAAACTGGGTTTTGCAATGAGACGGGGTTCGGGTAAGACGTGTGACGCAACATGTTTATGATTATTTCGCTGGCATCATAAAATGTTGCCCCAGTGCCTGTCTCACCTTCTCGTTTCGCGTTTATTGAACTCCATTGGTAGCACATGTGCCGTGTCATCAACAACATTTTGTTTTCCTTTTGTTTGGGCGCTTTTTTGTTTTTTTTTTTTTTTTGTGTATTTTTGGCCAAGTGGCGGTTCCTGGTCCTGTCATTGAGGTAGGTCGCAGATCTTTGCAATAAAATGCCGTTGACAACAACAGAGAATCGCGAAGGTCAATAACATGGCAGGCAGCCGCACGCGATCCACAAGCTGTCAGCGATTTTGCAAACTTGTTGAACTTCGACTGCTTGCAACAATCGCAATGCGACACAAACTGAGCTGAGATCGAGCTAATTGCATAACTCACCTCGTACTCCAATTTATTTCGCAGAGCTATTGCGATGTGCTGCACTTGGCATGACGCTCGTTTTCTTTGGAGCAGCCATCTTTATGACAGATCCCGTCAAGCTAATTGTCGATTGGGTAAGACGTGCATTTAGATGATTAGATGACCATTGATCCCAACTGATTCCCTTTGGTTTAGCAAATCAGTCTGAGTCCTCATGCGCTGCTACGCAAGCTGTGGCTCGTTCCACCGCTTGATGTCTACATCATGGTCTACATGTTCAACTACACAAATGTGGATGCCTTTATAGCGGGCACGGATGCCAAGATGAAGGTCGAGGAGGTTGGCCCCTATGTCTATCAGGAGGTGCTCTCCAATCATAACATAACCTTGAACGAGGCCAATAACACCATCACCTACACGCCGCGTCGAGAGTACATCTTCGTGCCGGAGCGTTCAGTGGGTGACCCGAAAATCGATCGCATTCGGGCGCCTAATATACCCTACATGGGCGTCAGCACACAGGCAGCCAGCCTCTCCATGTTCGCCGCACTCGGCCTGAGCGCTCTGGCCAAACGCCTCAATGCACAGCCCATGCTGGAGGTCAGCGTGCACGACTACATGTGGGGCTATGAGGATCACCTGGTGCATTTGGCCTCCAAGTTTGTGCCCAGTCTGATCGATTTCTCCAGCTTTGGCATCATGGAGAAGGTTAGTATTCGCCGCGCATGCGTCATGCTGTTGCCTGTTGCATGCCTAAAAATTTTCTTCAATTATCGTTCAGCTATTTCGCGAGGGCAACGAGAGCAACGTGGTCAATATGCATCTGCCAGAGCTCAAGGATGCGCATGGTGTTAACCTGCCTGGCTCGCCACGCGGCTATTCCATCAATAGCATTAACTACGAACGCGGCTTCAAGCGCTGGGAGTACGATGAGGCCACCAAGTGAGCAATTAGCAATTGGCCATTGCCCAATTTCCGGGTTATAACCACATCTCTCTCCTCTTGCAGCGGCACTCAGTGTAATCGCATTTGGGGCAGTCATGATGCCACCCTCTTCCCACGAGACATGAACGAGCACGACACCTTCCAAATCTATCGACGAACTTTCTGTCGGCTGTTGCCCATGAAATTCAATCGCACCCTGAACTTTAAGGGCCTGGATGCCTATGAGTACGTTATGGAGCCCCATATCTTTGACAGCGAGCTGCACAGCGCCAATTCCTCATGCTTTTGCAAGAACAATCACTGCCTGAAGCGAGGAGTAGGCAATGTCTCTCCCTGCTATTACAGTAAGTGCTCCGGAAGCACTGATGTTTATCAATCTAATTCTTTTTTTTTTTTGCCATCTCTTTCTATATATTTTCCAGATATGCCTCTGGCTATTACTTATCCACACTTTATGCATGCTGATCCCAGCTTACTGAAACCTTTTGAAGGACTTAATCCAAATGAGTCCCGCTTTACATCCACTTTCATGATGCAGCCGGTAAGTGGACAGGAGGTAATTTTTACTCCATTCTTCAAAACTAACCGCCCAATCCCTACAGCAACTGGGCGTACCCTTGCATGTTCATATGCGCCTACAGGCCAACCAAGTGGTGGGCAACATCAAGTTCAATCGCCTCATGGAACCCTTTGAGAATCTAGTGCTGCCGCTGCTCTGGGTCGATCTCACCATTGAAAATCTGCCCCTGAGCCTGCAGGTGCTGGTGCATGCACTCAAAACTGGCTTCCCACTGCTGCAGCTTGTGGTGTCGCTGGTTTTGATCCTATGCGGCTTTTACCAGCTAAGTGCGGCGTTTCTTCTATGCTTTTGGTCGCCACCAGCTGGCATGCACAAGTCCGAGCACGGGGAGAAGGCCGCGAGCGTATTGGGCGCGCTAGCCATAACCGCATCCCTGCACAAATCCTTGCCGGCGGAGTGTGTGCAACCGGAGGTACAGCAGCCGCTGTTAGACGAGAATGCAGATAAGCTTGAGGTTTAGGAAGTGCGAACAATTCAATTGGAACATTACCTCAACCTACAATGGGCAGCCGTTAGGAGCTGTCCACACTCTGTGATATTAGGAGCTAAGCAAATAAGGAGATTTGGTGTAGATTATATTCTGCTCAACGGAAACAACTTAGGGAACATTCTATGCTTATATAAAAATTAAGGTTAATGGTAATTCTGATTCGTGGTCGTAAGCTAAGTTTGCACTCGATAAATATACATATGCAGCATGATAACTGTACAAGATTATCGATAAACGATTAACGACTATCGATTAACATTTTTGGACTGGAACTGGCCTTAATGTGAGGCAATTGTGTCCTCAATCCAATTTAAGTAGTACGAGATGCGTAGGTAAACATCTGGGAAATTCTCAAGCGCACAGCCCGAACCAAAGGAGGTGACTCCGGCCAATATCCAGGGCCCATCCCGCGAGAGGCGACACTGCAGCGGCCCGCCGGAGTCGCCCACACAGGTGCCGCCCTCTCCGTTGAGCTGGCCAGCGCACAAATGGCCGCTGTGAATTTTCACAAAGCTGCCGTAGGCATCCCTGCATCTGGAATGGATACTGTACATTTAGCTTATCTGATTGCAAAGCACTAGCTGGCCGACTCACCTGCCATTCTGGTGCAGCGGCACATGCGTCTTGAGCAGCTGATTGGACAAATCGCCGCTGATGTTGGCCTTGCCCCAGCCCGTGGCCACACAGTCAATGAAGGGCATCTCGTGCGAGTCCCCGCCCCTGGCGAACTGTGTGTCCTGCTCCGAGTCGAGCTGCAGCTTCATGAGCTTGTCGTTGCGCCGCCGCGTGCGTTTCTGGCTGCGGGGGGAGCGCTGGGACTGCCTCAGCGCCTGGCGCAAACGACTGAGGATCTTCATGTTCATTAGCTCCCGCATGGACACGTCTGTAGAACTGGGAGCAGTCACATTGCGGTAGCGTCTGCGACTCTGTGCGCTGCGCAGAAAATTGTCAATCTTCTCAGGCACATCGTCCAGCTCCAGTTGTTGGCTGAGAACATCCTCCGTCGTTGGCGCTGGTGCCTCCGGTGATTCGCGCAGCATAAAAGGCAAACAAATGCGCCGAATGTGGGAGGAGCGTGAGAGATCCGCGGGCTTGGACAGCTTCATAAGCACCACATCGTGTCGGAAGTTGTGATACTGATGGTGCAGCACAATTTTCTCAACGGGAATACGCTGCTCATTGCCCGTCTCCACATTGCGGTCATGCTCGCCCAGCACCACCGTCCACAGCGGTGGAATGGGCAGATTAAAGAGATCGCTGCGAGAGAATAATCGTTAAGCGGCAACTACAACTGGGCTTGGGAGTGGCTGGCACTTACTTGTGCACGCAGTGGGCGGCGGAGAGTATCCAGTACTGATGAATGAGCACAGCACCACACCAGTGGCCCAGGAAGCCCAGCGAGGGATGCAGCAGCTCCAGCGAGGCCTGCCACGGAAATTGGCCCTCGTGCGTGGAAGCGCCGGCAATAATCCGTGCCTCGCGACGTCCGGGTCGACAGCCGCAGTCTGTATTGTAATGGTTCACTCAAGACTGCCCGATTCTCGGCGAGATCGATTGCACTCACCTGTCTCAAACTGCGCGGCGCTGTGCACCAGCAGCAGCAGGCAGAGCCAGCGCAAGGTCAGCGCCAGTGCGTGTGTTGTTGCCTGCTGTTGTTGTTGCCGTTGCCGTTGTGGATGTTGTTGTTGTTGTGACGATAGCTTCATCATGTTGTCGCTGCTCGCCAAGCCACCGCACGGCCTCAGCGGCTGATCGCGCGCATGACTGACCCAGACCCAGACCCAAACCCAGACTCCGACAGCTGCGGCTGTGGCTGTGGCAGATGCCAGTTGCCAGTTGCCAGTAGCGGTATCCTGCTGATGCTGATGCTGTTGCGACTATTGTTACTGTTACGGCTGCTTTTCACTTTCACGCTCGCAGTCAAATGAGCTGCCGCCGCGTTAAACTCTGGTGACTCTGGCCCCGGCTGACTTCTTTAATAACACGCATTCGCGTCTCAAGACCTTTTTATGCCATAAATATTATAATTTACGTGATTTTCCCAGCTACACTTTGGTTTTCTTTTCTCGCGCTGCGCATTAATTAGCCAAATGTGGGCGTTACCGGCGGTGTCCGAGCCGCAAAATATGGCAGAATAACTCAAAATTAACTCGAACTGAAACTGAAAACTGGGGGCCCGTGCCCACGGTTATATAATGTCGTTGTGCCCGCTGATGCTGGGTGGCCCCGGGGCGGGCTATATTAACGGTTTCGGTTTCGTTTTCGACAACAGCGCAGGCGCCGCGTTTGGCTGAGTTTCGGGCTGTTTTTTTGGTTTACAGCTTGGAAGTTGGGCTCGTGGTTGGTTAATGCGGCTCATGCGAATCGTTAGCGACGAGCGCCAAAATGCAACTGTGCGCTGCCCAGGTTTGCCAACAAACATTTACCGTTTCGGTTACAGCGATGCTGCGCAGTCGGCGTCGACATTTGACTGAGGATAGTGTTGCATGCCCCGCCGCGTCCGCGGCCAGTTCCAACAGCAACAGCAGCAGCAGCAGCAGCAATAATAATAATAACAAAGCGTCGTCAACGAAAGTGAAAAGACAGCGCTAGGCGGGCAAAAGAGCAGCTAAAAGCCAACAACAACATCAAACAACAAACACAACAAAAACAACAACATCCACATTGATGACGCTGACACTCGCTTGCTTGGGATTGAAGAGGTAGTAAAAAGGGTAAGTTAGGCTTGCCTCAACATTGGCTTATCATTCACCTGCGAATCATGCTCAATAAATACAGAAAATATAGCGCTGCAATAACAATCCATTGATTAATATATATTCCAAATCTAATCAGCATTAAAATTATGGTAAACGTGCAGCTGACAACAGCAATTATATTGTTTGATCTATTGCTTCATAATTTATACGTGATCTATTGCTATAATTATACGACTACTGTGCAAATCGCTTAATGTCAAGTTTATGAACGTAACCCAGCTTGATAAGTATTAGTATGTAAATTTTATTTATAAATGAGTTTAACTATACGGTAGAATAATATATATAAATATATATATATATATAGAGCCTTAGGTATTCTTGAAAGATGTCAAAATATACACAAATAGCTATAGACAGCGTTAACATGTCTTATAATGTGGATCGTGTTCGAAATGTCATTGAATCATTGTTAAACTGTAAACAAATCTGAGCTTATGCAAAATCTCAAGAATTTCTCGTTTAAACACAATTTAATCACAATTTTAATAAGACTTTTTTTCTACCGATTAACTAATTTACAATTATAATACATTGTAAATCACAATAAGTACACAGTACCAGCACGTGTATCTACGCCATCTAAGTGCTCTATTAATTACAGATAAATATGAACTTGATTCAGACTCCTATATTAAAGTTAATTGGCTTGTTGGGTCAATGCGCCTAGTCGAGCGTTTGCATGCGGAAAACGCCAACGTTACGTATACGTCCAGTATTTCTCGGGTATTCCTGGCGCGGCAGTTAACAAGTACCCATTAATTGGCCAAACTGAAACATGTTAATTACGGTATTTAAGTGAAACATTTACTCGGTACAGAAATTATTTATAAGGCTGGCAATGCTATGATATTTATGACAATTACCTTTAGAACAAACAACTTTATAAATAAAGCAGCTAGCTGCTCGGTACAACGCGGTGGATCAGTGTGAATGATGTTGGCCCAACAGGCCAAGCGACTGAATGCGCCCGAGCGAGTGAGTGAGTGAGTGAGTGAGTGTATGCGAGTGCAGCTGAGTGTTGCTGCGAGTTACTTTCGTTTTCATTACATCCAGCAGCAGCAACAGCAGCAGCAGCAGCAGCAGCAGCAGCTGACTCTACGGGCAGTACGTCCGCCCGGGCTAGCATCCGGACCCGCGCCCGTTTTGAATTCCGCGTTGATGCACAAACTCATAAGTCATGTTGCTGCTGCAACAGCAGCGACAACACACACACACACACATAGCCATGGGGCACTCTGCAATGGGGAAGTTGTTAATGCAACAGCAGCAGCAACAGCAGCATCAGCGGCCGCATCGGCAACAGCAATAACAAAAACTTTGGTCTGTTTACGCAGCCAATTGATCATTTAAGCCCAGTTAAGACGCTGTTGAGCAGCCAGCCTGTCAATTTGTTGTTGTGGGCGTTGTCATTGCCGCTGCCTGTGGCATGTTGCCATTGTGCTGCTGTCGCTGCTGCTGTTGTACAATTAACCGCCGCCTTGGGAGCCAGCAATTTGTTGATGTTTGCTTGTTTGTTTGTCGATGATGAACGTTAATCAAAATCAGAAAATAGCTTGCACAATCGGCGCAGATTTATGTAGCCTACTGTTCACGTGCCTAGTTAAGGCTAATGCCGGGGCTAAATCGAGTGATTTGAACTTTCACGGCGTTGCAAAAACCGAAATTAATTTTGTATAAATTTAATGGAAATAATACCAAGAAAAAATCAAATGAAATTTTACGCAAACACCGTGCGGCGACAATCAACGGAAGCGTTGCGGGTCACTTGGACTCAGCAGCAGCAGCAGCAGCAGCCAAATTAGTCAAGCTAAACCAAATGAGCACGTAAATCTTTGCGTTGGCGTTGGGAGAAATCGTGGATCGAGACCTTGAATGCAGCACAGGCAACGGCAAGAGTGGCGCATTGGGCTGCAATTTCACTGCACTGTGGTTGCTGTTATTCAATTGCAATTGCATCATAGCAACATGTGGCCAGCTGATCGGCAGCGGATGCAGCGAGAGAGTTTCTTAAACCCGACAAAATCGGACAAATAGCGAAGCGGGCGTCGACAGCAGCCCCACAGCTGATCGACATTAGGCAGAGCCACTCTCGCATTTGCATGCCACGCAGCAGCAGCAGCAGCAGCAACAACAGCAACAACAGTTAATATCGAAGCGTATCTTTAAGATGCGCGCATTACATTACCAAATGGCAGCGGGCGCTTTCCATGCGGCTGACGCGCAGACTTTGCCGTTGCCTCACATGAAAACGAAAGTGCTTCAAGTGGTTAGCCAGATGCTGCTGCTGCTGCTGCTGCTGTTGCTGTTGCTGCTGTTGTTATTGTTGTTGTTTAGGTTATACTATTTGCTGGCGCTCACGATTAAAAGTTGCTATCTCTGTCTTTTTACTGCTGCTGCTGCTGTTTCCTGTATCTCCAAGTTGCTGCAGTGTGTTTGTTGTCGCCGCTGCTGCGAGGTTGCGGCTGCTGGCGCTGACAGTGGCAGTGGCAATGGCAATGGGGGGAATGCCAGCGCCAACGTTGCATGCCACATGCGCCGCGTGCAGACCGGCGCGAAATATTTTGTTTAGCTTACAAAAATGTTTGTACACAATTTGCACAAGTCCGTAAAAAACATAAAAAAAAAGAAAACATTTAAAGTTTGTTGCAGCTGCTTCCAAAAAACAATTCGAAAAAAATTGCATTTGACTGCAAGCTAAACGGCAAAATTGATAAAAATGAATGTATAATTCGAATTATTAGCGTAAGCCCGAATATATAATATTTTACATGGAAATGTATGCAGGCTAAGTTCTGTTTAGAGTATTTGCATAGATCTATAAACTCCCTTCCAATATTTTCTTTCAACAAGCTCATTAAGTTCTGAATAATTAATAAAAAATACTATAAGAAATTTGAATAATATGACAAGAGCATTTAAGCTTCGATGAATTGAACAAAGGCACTTAGGATTTCTTTTATTATTGTTTTTGTTTGAATCATTTATTTACCATTTACTTCACACTCGTATTTGTTTAAGCCAGGCGCGTGTTTCGTTACAACCAACCGCAAAAATTATTTACATGAAATGCGATAAATTTGACTTTAACATTGGGTATTTCAAGGCTATCTTTTGCATTTTTAGCTAATTTTTGTTATTTTCTTCGCATTTGTTGGGGCTTGGTGAAAATTTGAGTTGGTTAAGCTGAAAGCGGGACTTGAAATGTCAGGATTTGATTGGCCATTCGCACGTTCTGCTAAGTATCGCGTGTCCACAACTGGGCACAGGTATTACAGGTAGTGCCCACCCAGGGGACTTTACATTGCAGCAACACCAGCAACTCAGCCACTCAGCCGCTCAGCAGCAGTAGTTCCGATATTGCCGTCGAGAGCTGTAAAGTGTTTTTTATTAATAAGTAGCAATTAGCGTTTACCAAATTGCTTAGAAATTGTGGTGCATGTTTATTTTTATATGTTACTTCATTTTTTTGTAGTTGTTTGTTATTTATATGCCGAACTAATACAAAATGGGAAACAATGGGTATATTGGCTTTTCATTATCTCTCAAACGCAGCTCAACGCTCGCCTCGTATTTATTATGATTAAAGAAAATGTGACCTTTTTAAGGTTTTGTCTTTCGCTTTGGTAAATAAATGCATTTGGATGTCATGATTTACAACAATTGATCATTATTTAAAGAATGCCTAGACCATGATGGGAATCCCAGGAAAAAAGAAGGACATCCACATCGACAAGAGAGAACAAATGTGTGTCACAGCAGCTCACTGCGGGTTACAGGGTATCTGATAGTCAAGCAATCTCGATAAGTGCACTCTTACTTGTTTTTTGTTGTTGTTGTTTCTGCTTGTTTTATGTGGCGCAAAACTTGCGGTTTCCACATGGCGGCATGGGAAATTACTCGGCAATGCAACTGCATTTATGCATTTATGTACCCACAAATACCCTAGACTGGTTTCTTAGTGTGCGTGTGTGTGTGTGTGTGTGTAAGTGGTGTGCTTTTGCTTTTGCTTCCTTTCAATAGTTTTAAATGTTTCGAACTCGATTGAACCCGCTTGCAGCAGTAAAGTCGCTGA